TCATCGTAATGGAGAGACATGTGAGTCCCAATTACGTGTTAATGCAAAATTGATAACCTGACACCTGATTTGAAGTACACAAAGCGGTATAGCTCTCAGGCATACAGAATTGGCTGTAATAATAAAGATAATTTATATGATAATATTACAGAAATAATTTCTTCAGGTGACAGAATTACTTGTGAGCATTAAGAAATAATAATCAGTGGTAAACCTTGTGGCAGCTGGCTGTAGCAGGATTCGTCATTAGAGGTACTAAGAAACAGCAAGTCTCCAGAGATGCTAACTAACTTATAATTTTTACAAAACGGTGACTATGAGGTATTAGGATTTTATAATTAACATGGACTCGTAAGATTGTTGCAAGCAAAAATTCATAAAGATGTTAAAAAACACAGCTTTAATCCAGTGTTTTAAAACAGTATTTATCCTCTGTTATCATGGATCAGGGTACGGAGTAGGTCTAAAGGAAGAATGAAGCACATCTCTTGAGTACATATGTTATGCTGCAGTAAGAACTGCATATTCTGACCCTTTCATTCGCTGTTTACATTACTCAGAGAAGACTTCAAGTGGTGTCTTACGTTACTTGGTGATCATCGCTGCATACGGACTGTGTACCACAGTTACTGGTGCACAGTGACTTAATCTGTTGTACTACATCATTCAGCTGTGGGGTAGCTGAACGTTTCTGTCTCATGCAAATATCTTTTAGGGTTGCATATAATTGAGTGCAATGTAAAACTGCTCTGAGACTGTTCTAATCACAGTCAACTGAATCTCTGCTTAAATATGTTTTAGAGCCTAAAACTAGCATGATCCACCAGTTATTTTAACTGCAGAATTCAATCCTTCTTTTCAAAAATCCCAAACAATAAAATCCTAAATTTATTTGGGCTTGCTTTTCATGCAGGCTTAATGTACATTGTGGTAAAGAGTTGGGTTTTAGTTGTTCCTGAAGTATTTTGATTGGATTTAAGAGGAAAGGTATTAAGAATTATATGATTGGGTTTTTTAAAAACATTTCTTGTCTGTTTCATGTTTACAGATCGTTTTCCAATTGATGTAGTCCAGGAAAATTATGTCCGTAACGTGAGAAACTGCATTTTTTCAATTGTCTATCCTACACCTTTTAAATCTAGAGTTCGTCTTGTAGCTGTTTCAAAGGTTGGCTATTATTTTTTTGTTCCTCTCTAATTAGTGGAGATTGTTAATACATGTACTAAAATGTATTTTAACATTCATGTGCTATTTATTGTGAAAGCATCTTATCAATATATACTTTAAACAAATAGAACATTTAAAACATATTGTGAGATGCCTTTAATAACGAAATCTGTAGAGAAAACACATTCGTTACCACTGAAGATTTGATCATATTCAAGTATCATCTGTATTATTTTCTTCTCCAGGAAGTTCTTGAAAATATTTTGGATCTTGATCTATCTGTCAAAGGAACATCTGATTTTCTTCAGTTCGTCAGTGGTGGGAAAGTGATACTTGGGTCTGTTCCATTGGCCCATAGGTATGGGGGTCATCAGGTAACCGTGGCACTCGTTCTTCCAGGTGGAATGATGTAGGTCTTTTCATGTGAATTATACCTTGATAATACCTGTAAATATGTGAGTATGTGCCTGTTAGCGTATGAACACTTACGAACATTTTGATTGCAGATTTGTCCTTCATAAAGGGTTACAAATGAAAGAGAACTATAATACTCTTTCACGGTACCTTGTCTACTTTCTCTGCTTCTGTTTATGCCGGAAGCAAATTATCTTTTTAACTTCTGTTAGCTACCGAGTCTGCTTGCAGCCTGACAAGCTCTGATTCATGGCATGTATTATCAGCTTAGAGGAGTGAAGAAGGACAGAGCCTCAGTACAATACTATGATTACTAAGAGTTAAGTTTCATTGAAATGGGTAACATTATTCATGGAAAAAAGTGGTAGAATTTGATTTGTAATTTCTAATTTAAAAAAAAATAGCAAGCTGTGTCAGTTTAAAGGCTTATTATACAAAAGAGACAGGGCTGTAGCTGTACATCATAGCTAGAAGGTAGAGAAAAAAAATGAGGATTACAGGTGTTATTCTTTTTCTGTGGTTTTCTGATTCATTATTGCTGTGAGTGTGGAAATACTGCTTTAGGGATCAATATCTTAATGACTACCTGAGCAAATGTGTCATTATATTGTGTAGATCACAGAGAACCTACATGTAATTTATACTGTTTCAAGTATAACTGCTATAAATGATAGAAGAAAATAACTTGATTTTCATTTTTGTCAGTTTGGTAGCTGGGCAGGTCAGCTGGGTGATGGAAGAGCCCACTTGATTGGAGTATATACAAACAGGTGTGACTTTTTTTTAAGTGTGTTCTATTTAGCTGATTCATGCAGAGCCCAAAGTGTACTGTTAGAAATGCTAATGGTATTTTTGCAGGCATGGTGAGAGGTGGGAACTACAGTTAAAAGGGTCAGGAAAGACCCCATATTCTAGGTAAGTTGCAGTTAATCTATGTATGCCAAAACTGGGTGTTTTCTTTTTGAAATTTCCTTTGATTTTATGACCTATTCCTTATTTCTCTGTTATCCATAGGAATGGTTTTTTTTAGAGCGGTGCTTCGCTCTTCTGTGCGAGAATTTTTGTGTAGTGAGGCCATGCACTATCTTGGGATTCCTACAAGCAGAGCTGCTAGGTAATTTTCTTTCCTTTTTCACAGCATCGTAATTTACAAGTAATTTTATGACTGAGTTTCACTGAGCATCAATAAAGCAGGACAGTTAGTTTCCAAGAGGATAGATCTTTCTTTTCATGTATATGCAATCAGAACAAAATATATCCCTCCAGTTTCATCGCCTTTTTTTTCTTTTTTTGATTAAACTTTCCAGTAATAATGGGCTCCAGCAATTAATCCATTCACCTTGTCTTTCATATGCTTTAAAGAACATCTTTGCTTAAATACGATATAGTGTACTGTCTGTGTCTTACGGTGAACAGCTGTTGTTCACTTCTAAGACTGTCTTAACTGAATAACCTTAGTTTGAAATCTGATTCATCTTGTAAAGAAAGTAAAAAGTGGAAGTTCGATTAACTCCCCTCTCCAGCTTTTATGACACTGCAATCAAGAGTTTCTTCTCTTTAAAAAAAATAAAATTGTTCTCTCCTCCTCACCAAAAGACTTGCAAAAACAGCAGGACTAGATTCCTGCCCTGTAAATAATGATGATAATAATAATACCTTTAGTGTATGTGGATAATCAATGAGTTTATTAATACATTTTACATGGTTAATAAGTGAGTCTTTTATTATACTGAAGTTAAGCATTTGGATGAATTTTTTTAGAATCAGGCCAAGTAGGAAAATGTTGAAAGTGGCTGTTTATTGTCATAGTCACCTAGTTGCAATTTTTAAGATTAATAGGAAAAATTTTCAGTCAGATGAATAGACATTAATATTGGAGGTAGTACTGACTGTAGATAATTGCTCTCAATTCCTTATTTGTGCAAACACTGCTTGAGCAGAGAGGGAGATCTCATTAAAAAAAAATTTAAAACTAATTCTGTTTGAACCAAAGAAGACTAATACATTCACTTATTTGGATGATTTTCTCAGAATTAAGCAAACTGAATTTTTCATATGATCATGTTTAAAATGTCAAGTTCATTTTGTGTTCCAAGTGGTCTGATGTCTGTACTCCGGCATTTCAGGCTTTAAAGAAAGTAAATGTTCTGCAGAAAAGGCCTGTATTCAGCTGCCACATGGGTAGGTGTCTGTATTTGCAAAGTGTCTGCAAATCTCTCTAGCATTAATTCTAACACATTTGCTCTGTTGAAGTGCAGTGTTTGTAAATGACATTTTTGATGGTTTATTTGCTGACTTCACCTTGAGACCCTTTGCTGTTGGCTGTTAATGCAAAACTTTAAATCTGTCTGTATATCAGCAG